AGATTTTATTCTTTTTATGGGTAAATAGCATTCCATTGTGTGTATATATACATGTACACACACATACGTATGCGTACATACACACTACATTTTCTTTATCCATCCATAGATGGACACTTAGTTTGCTTCCATATCTTGGCTATTATAAATAATGCTTCAATGAACATGGAGATGCATGTATCTTTTTGAGTTAGTATTTTCATTTTCTTTGGATAAATACCCAGAACTAGAATTGCTGGATCATATGGTAGTTCTATTTTTAATTTTTTGAGGAAACTCCATATAGTTTTCCATAGTGGCTGCACCAGTTTGCCTTCCCACCAACAGTGCACAAGGGCTCCCTTTTCTCCACATCCTCACCAACACTTATTTCTTGTCTTTTTGATAATAGCCATTCTAACAGGTGTGAGGTGATATCTCATTGTGGTTTTGATTTGCATTTCCCTGATTTAAAAAATTGAGTTTTTAGTGTTAATCTTTTAATCTGCAACTAGTGAATTTGTTTACTAGTTCTAGGAGCTTTTTTGTGGATTCATTAGGATCATGTCCTGCAAATAGAGTTTTACTTCTTCCTTTAAAGTTTTTTCTTATCTAATTGCTTTAGCTGGAACAGTAAAATGTTGAATGACTGGTTTTCTTATTTTGAACCACTTTTGCATTCATGGCATAAATCACACTTAGTCATAAGTATAATCCTTTTAATATGCTAGGTATTCTATTTACTAGTGTTTTATTGAGGATTTTTATACCTATATTCATAAGGGATATTGGTGACAAGGGTTTTCTTTTCTTGTGATCTCTTTATCTAGCTTTGTTATCAGAGTAATAGTGGCCTCATAGAATGAGTTAGGAAATGTTCCCTCATCTTCTATTTCTTAGAAGAGTTTGAGAAGGATTGATGCTAATTCTTCTTTAAATTTTGGTGGAATTCTGGTCCTAGACTTTTCCTTGTAGGGAGGTTTTGTTGCTGCTTCAGTCTCTCTCTCTCTTTTTTTTTTTTTTAAAGATTTTATTTTTCCTTTTTCTCCCCAAAGCCCCCTGGTACATAGTTGTGTACTTTTAGTTGTGGGTCCTTCTAGCTGCGCCGTGTGGGACGCTGCCTCAGCATGGCCTGATGAGTGGTGCCATGTCCGTGCCCAGGATTTGAACCAGCGAAACCCTGGGTCGCTGTAGCAGAGCGCAGGAACTTAACCACTCGGCCACGGGGCCGGCCCCTGATTCAGTCTCTTTACTTGTCACACATCGTTGAAATTTTCTGTTTCTTCTAGTGTTATTTTTGGTAATTTGTTTCTAGGAATTTGTGCATTTCATCTAGGTTATCTAATTTGTTAGCATGTAACTGTTCATAGTATTCTCATATAATCCTTTTTATTTCTGTAAGATTGGTAGTAACATCCCCACTTACATTTCTGGCTTTAGTTATTTGTGTCCACTCTCTTTTTTTTTCTTTGTTAGTCTAGATAAAGGTTTTTAAATTTTGTTGATTCCTTCAAAGAACCAATTTTTCATTTTGTTGATTCTCTGTGTTTTTTCCCCTTTCTCTAGTTCATTTATCTTCACTGGAATTTTTATTTTATTCCTTCTATTAGCTTTGGGTTTAATTTGCACTTGTTTTTCTAGTTCCTTAACATAAATTTAGGGTATTGATTTGAGATCTTCCTTTTTAATATTTACTGGTGTTTACTGCTATAAATCCCCCTGAGCACTGCCTTTGCTGCATCCCGTGTTCATGGAAGGGAAGGTTTAATATTGTTAAGATGGCAATAATCTCCAAACCGTTGTATTCACTGCTCTCACAGAGTGAGTTGGGAAGTGTCTCCTCCTCCATGTTACTGGGGAGTTGATGAGGAGTTGGCGTTTGTTCTTCTTACACATTTGGTAGATTTCACCACTGCAGCTATCTGGGCATTGACTTTCTGTTGTGGAAAGCTTTTGTTTATTATTTCAATCTATTTACTTACAATTGGTCTATTCAGGTTTTCTGTTTCTTCTTGATTGAGTTTCAGTAGTTTGTGTCTTTCTAAGACTCTGCCCGTGTCATCTAGGTTATGCAATTTATTGGCATAAAGTTGTTCATAGTATTCCCTTATAATTCTTTGTATTTCTGTAAGCCCAGTGAGGCTGTCCCCTCTTTTATTCCTGATTTTATGGTCTCTTTTGCTGGTTCAGGCAAGCTAAGTGTTCATAAATTTTTGTTCATCTTTTCCCAAAACCAACTTTTAGTTTCATTGATTTTGCTGGGTTTTTTGTTGTTGTTCTTTCATTTTTTTTCTGCTTTAATCTTTCTTAGAGTCATGTGCTGCGTAAGGATGTATCGGTCAACAATGGGCTGCATATATGATGGTGGCCCCATAAGATTAATACTATATAGCCTGGGTGTGTAGCAGGCTATACCATCTAGGTTTGTGTAAGTGCACTCTATGATATTGGCACAATGATGAAATTGCCTACTGACGCATTTCTCAGAACACATCCCTGTCATTAAGCAATGCATGACTGTATTGCCTACCTCCTGCTTACTTTGATTTTTCTGCTCATTTTCTAGTTTTATAAGATTGAAGTTTAGATTATTGATTTGAAAGCTTTCTTCTTTTTTAATATAGGCATTTATAAATACAGATTTCCCTGTAAGCAATGCTTTAGCTGTATCCTATAAGTTTTGGCATATTGTATTTTCATTCTATTAATCTCAAAATATCTCTCCACTTCCCTGTGATTTCTTCTTTCAGCCATTCGTCATTTATGAGCATGTTGTTTAATTTCCACATATTTGTGAATTTCCCCAATTTCTGTTACTGATTTCTAATTTCATTCCATTGTGATGGAACAATATATTTTGTATAATTTCAATCCTTTTAAATTTATTGAGACTTGTTTTATAGCTTAACTTATGGTCTATCAAGATCTCTATGCACTCAAGGAATGTGTATTCCCATGTTGTTGGGTGGAGTGTTCGATAGACGCATGTTGGGTCCTGTTGGTTTATAGGAGTTTTCAAGTCTTCTGTTTTCTTGTTGATCTTGTGTCTAGTTGTTTTATCCGTATTGAAGCTTTATCCTGTTTCTCAGACTGCATAATCTCAGCTGGCCCATCTTCAAGTTGACTGATTCTTCCTCCAGCTCAAATCTGCTGTTGAATACCTTCGTGATGGTAGTTATTTTATCCAGAATTTTCTTCTTCTTCTCCAGAAAGCCCCCCAGTACATAGTTGTATGTCCTTCTGGTTGTGCTATATGGGACGCTGCCTCAGTGTGGCCTGACGAGCGGTGCTATGTGTGTGCCCAGGATCCAAACCTGTGAAACCTTGAGCCGCAGAAGCAGAGAGTGCAAACTTAACCACTCGGCCACTGGGCCAGCCCCCAGAATTTTTTCTTTTAAAATAATATTTGTCCATTTATTTCCTCTATTAGTTGGAGACCCAAAAGTTTTTTGAAAGAGAAATTATACTTGAACATAGTGAATTTTTGTGAATGTAGATCTTGCAACCATGGACGTCTAGGCCGCCCGACAGTGAATGTCAACCAAGGCCCCAGACCCCTCAGTGTATTATCATTAAGACCTTTTCACTCAGATTGGGGCCCTACAACCAGCAACATGGCATCACCTGGGAGCTGGTTAGACATGCAGACTCTCAAGCTCCATCCCAGATCCACCAAGATAGAAGTTGCATCTTAAGATCTCCAGGTGATTCTCATGACCGTTAAAGTTTGAAAATCAGTGGGCGAAGGTCCTGGAACCCGTCACACTTTCAGAGCCTTCAAGGTACCACATGCCACTTTTCAGAATAGCAATTTTTCATTTGCTGATATGACTTTAATAAACGTCCATCTTCCTCTCTACACTGAGGAGAAGTCTGTTTACTGTTGCACCCAAGAGTCACGCACAGAGCAAGTGCCGTAAAATCCGTCAGGTGAATCTGTGAGCTGGAGGCTGGATCTCCATACTTACCTGCTTCCTCCAACCCCCAACCTCAAATAGAACTCAGAAGAGGTTTAACTTCTTAACTACCATCCTCAGAAAACCTGAGCTCTCTCAGATGTCCTAGGGATGATTAGGAAGGATCTCAGAGATAAGGAAACTGTAGTTTTTTACCTTTTGCTTAAAGTATGTATTACCCAAAATGTGAGTCTCCCAGGTACTAAGGATTCTCTTACTGGAAAGGAAGTATTGGAAAGAAAGAAACCTTTGGCATATTCTTTCTAATTCTGCAAGAGGACTTTTAATCCTGTGTGACTTCACTAACTTTGTGTCCTTATAGTTGTTTTCTCCCTCAGGAAAGGTTATTGGGGCGCCAGCCCCATGGCTGAGTGGTTAAGTTGGTGTGCTCCACTTCAGTGGCCCAGGGTTTCGCCAATTCAGATCCTAGGCACAGACCTACACACTGCTCATCAGGCCATGCTGAGGTGGTGTCCCACATAGAAGAGCTAGAGTGACCTACAACTAGGATATGCAACTATGTGCTGGGGCTGGGGGGAGGGGGAAAAAAAGAGGAAGATTGGCAACAGACGTTAGCTCAGTGTCAACCTTCCTCTCCAAAAAAAAAAGGCACTAGAGGGGCTGGCCGTGGCATAGTGGTTGGGTCTAAAAAGAAAAAGTTAATGGAATATGAGTAAAACGTCATAAATTAACAAAATCAACTAGTAAAAAAGACTTTTCACTTATAATTCAGATATATTTATACATTTATTTATAGCTTATCCTGTCGTTCCATAAAAGGATTTGAGGCAAATGTTTACACCTAAATGAGATATCACACACCTAGAGCATATGCTGAGGTGCACGTGCTGTGATCTTCTGCTCTCTTGGCCTGCCCATGTTGATGAAGAGGCTCGTATTTATAACCTAGAAAGCACGATGCTGTGAGTAACGTCCCTGTCCCCAGGCTTCCACGCTGTAAAGGGGGTCTGCGATGGATGGCTTTTGTGAAACATCAAATGTCTCAATATTCTTCTCCCAATTAAAACAGACAAAATACCCTCAAAACAACAAGAAACTGACAACTGATATTAAGTGTTTTATTTACAAAGAATTATTTTCATTTGGCTGTTTGGAAAATCACTAACATTTTTCACTTTAGAAAACATTAAATAATAAACAAGATGTCATACAGTACTTTGGATAACTTCTTCCATCAGTTTAGTGCAATGTATTATTGGCACCTAAAAGTGAAATTCTCAATTATTTTCCCCTTTCTTCTTCAGTCCTGCAGTTAAATGACCAAAAAGGAAGTGAGTCACTAACCATGGATCTAAGGCCATATCTTTTGGCCCCTGCCCAAAGGCCCACTGATTTATAGTCCCCCTCCTGCCTGCCTCCACTAAGTCAAATGACAAAAGATATTCTATTGTACCTATTGTTCAAAAACCCTTCCTATGTTGTGGACGCTGGGAGATTCCAGTGATAAGAGAAACAGTTATACCGATTGGGTGAAGGGCAGGCTCTGGCAGAGGCGTTGGGATGGCCTGTTTATCAGTAGCCACATTAAGCCGTCACACACGTTGCAGAGAGAATGTACCAGACAAAACTCTCTCAGCTGTGTTCTTTGCTATGGTCTCTTTAAAAATCTGAAATATCATCCACTGAGCAGATAAAAGGGTTACAACTTTACCAAGAAAAAAAAATACACACTACCACAGTAGGACATTACTGAGATACTAATATCTGTCCATCATACTCTCTTTTGGAATAAATAGGATTTTTTTTTTTTTTTGCATTATCTTTTAATACTGCTGGGTTTGCCATGAAGGGAGAGACATCTCCGTGGGCTCAGCATTTCGTGGGCTTTCCCCTTTGATCCCTCTCCACAGGAGGCCAAGCAAGCAGTGCCCGCGTTAGATCCTGGCCTCATCCAAATTACTTAGTTCAGGAGATTGTCATTACATAGTAATAGGACACAAACAAACACCTTTGGGGAGATTCTGTAATCTGTTACTCTACCTTTAGGTAAGAACATCGTTAGCCATCTTAAATAGACAAATTTTTTAAAAGCATCCCAAAAAAAAAACCACCAAAAACCAAAGAATCACTTTTTTTTTTAACAAAGGATTCAAATTTAACAACTGTCCCTGCTGGGACATGCTCCCTCGCCCTCCAGCCTCAGCCTGCTTCCTCTGGTGCTACTTTCAGTGCATGTGGAGAGCACGGGGCAGTGTGCGCTATCCCCACCCTGCACACACTGGAAAACCAGCAATGCTTTGCCCTCAGTCTTCTCTCCTCCGGGAAAACACTCTCAGTTCCTTTAATTTGTCATCACAGATCTTTTTTTTTTTCCAACCCTTTAATCATCTTTGTGATTCCTGGCAAAAACAGCAGAAAGTATTTTGATTACTTAATCAGAAAGGAAAAAAGCTTTGGGAGTAAGCTGACTGTTGAGTCACGTGTTGTTTTAATGTGAAGGCAACGTCTGCAGGGTGGAGATGCAGTCGGGGGTTCATGCATCTCAGCATCCCGGTCTCCTCCGGCTGCGCGGGTGTGTATGCATCCCGCTGCAGCACGGCCAGCACCTCACAGAGGGACTGGCCTCCCATCCCCTCCTGACACGAGAGCACATCAGTTATGAGCTGGGTCTGCCTACACTTAGACGGACTTAAAAATTAGTACGGAAATCTGATCCCACGGAGCTTCCCTCACGCGTCCCCTCACCTGCTTCCATACAGAACCTTCACTTCTACAGAGCTGCCTGTGGTTTGCCAGGGAGAGCCATGTTGTTATGGTAAAAGCTGTTGGTTTTAAAGTGTGACCTGAAACAGTGAGGGTTTTATATGTTAACTGCAGTTTCTTGTCCACCGGTATGGTTTACTATCCTTCAGATGATCAAACTCAAAGGCCATGAAAAATTCATCCCCCTACTGGCGCCCCCACATCATCACCACAACCTGACGCCTCCCCTAATTTTCTCTTGCTGCCGACACAAGGTCATGGAACTGGATGACGTGCCACTGTGTATTTTTTTAATTCAAGCGATTACAAGCTGCCTTTCCCTTGCAACTAGAGTCTGTGAATATTAGGGACACGTAACTACTTAATAGCACATTTACACAAAACACACTACTACTAACAACAGATTACGTGCCCACTCTACATAACTGTCTTTAAAAGAAAAATACAGATAACAAGAATAAATGCACCTTGCTACGTTACATGCCCTTCTTTACAAAGTGAATGGCAGTAAGTCAGAGTTCAGGTCAGGCCAGAACTAACAGTGAAGAGGAGAAACCAATTTCACACACACATTGTACAACTACATCAGGGAGGTCAGTTCTACTCATGGTACAACACTGAACAGATAACAGGATGGCCATTTGCACAGATTTCTTTTGAAAACTTCTCCCACAATCTGCTACAAAGAACACCTTGTAACCAGGGTGAAGGATGGTGTAGGTCATACGTGTCGAGGCCTTCCCAAGAGACAGGAGGGCAGGTAACACTCAAAGGTGGTGGGCTGTGTCTACAGACGCCCCTTTACTTCAAGGAGAGTGTCACTGTTCACTGAGATTGCACAAAAGCAGGCCAGCAAGACGCGGGTCACCCACCAGACTTTCTCCTGACCCACTGACCACTCTTCTCCTAGGCCTGATAAGAGGGAGGAGAGGACAGGAGGTGAGGATGGGAAGAGAGGAGAGAGGAACGCGGGAGCCCATTGCTAGTTGTGGAGTTGCTCCCGTTCTTCAGAGCAGTGGCCTTTTCTCAAGCTCACATCATCCAGTGCGATCTCCCCAGTGTGCCCGCGCCTTTTTTCACCTTTGAAGATGACCTAAGGAGAGAAGGCACACACTAGTCAAGCCTCCTCTGCCCTTTCCAGTGCCCCTTATTTAGCAAAATAAAGGCAAACTTCCCCAAAACTAAATAGCAAACTCACTTAACAGAAGGAGAGACTAGAACAAGGCTGCCAGGGTCACCTGAGCTTGCCTTTTGGTAGAAATCTGAATCATCAGGAAACTTAATCAGGCCACATTACCGAGAATCAGTTATTCTTTAAGAAGCCATTTAAACTATAGACTCCTTCAATTTGGGAATGCTTATGAAGTGGACACTTCTGCCAAAGAGCCCAAGGTTGGAAGTAAAGAGTGTGGTGGAGTAGAAAGTGCCAAAACGAAGAGGCAACAACCCGAAGGACCATAATGGTGCGCCCGGCTCAGCTGCATCCTGGTTCCTGGTCTGGGTTGATGGGGCTGCTGCCTAAAATGGGCGGGAACCACCCACCATAATCCAGCCGCAGCTGTTCTACCACATGAAGACGGCTCACTCACTATTTGTGATTTTACCTTCTGTAGAGCATCCTTGCTCCTTTAAAAACAAAAACCTTTCTATGCTTGAAACTATTTGAAATGATTTATCTTGTTTTATTTCTCCAAGCAATATAACCATTAAAAATTTAAGAAAAATCCAAAGAGTAAAACAAAATCCCAGACTGATAAAAGCTGTATTAATGGAGTCTATCCTTTTTAAAGTAGTTTCTGGAAACTATACCTACAGGCATAGATGCAGAATCTCTTAATAGCAACCATTTTGTATGCATCAACATAAAGAAGACCCTTTCTCCAAATACATTCCTTACTTTGGGGGGTGTTATAGATCATTTTATTGCTACCCAAGACTTGATTACTTAAGATAAAATTTGTGCATTCAATCAAAGCTTTCCCATATCCTGTCCTGAATGGAATAGTTTCCAAGCATATTGTTCTGGGTTCCCACCCCAGGCTGCTTAACTGTGATCTCGGAGGGAAGGAAAAACATTAGACTTTAAGAAAGAAGAAACACTTCCAGGTAACTCACGGTGGTAAAAGCGTGAAGGCCTGAGTCAAAGGAAAAGGAAACGCAGGTACTGTTCAGCTCGCCACCCTGCCCTTTAAAGTTTCTGTGGATTAACTTAAAATTTTTTTTTTAATTCCTAATTTGGTTCCCTTAAAAATAGAGGATTTCCCCCCGGTGGGGAGAGCGGTGGTGGTCACAGGTTGCAGTGAGGAAGGAATGAAGAAGCAACGAGGGATCCTGGAAAGAGGCGGTGAGCGGAGTCCTCGTGCCCGGTTCAACACCACCCTCTGCGCGGTTCGCAGAGCAGGCTCTCCCCAGCAGACCCAGAGGCCCCTCGGAAAGGACCCCGTCCAGGTCCTGCCGCCTTGGGGTCCTACTTACGCTCTTGACGTCAGCCCCGCGCAAGGTGATGTGCGTCCGCCTCCAGCCGCCGCCGCCGTTCCTTCCCCACAGGGCCGCCGCGTGCGCCCCGTGTCTGCGCGCCAACACCTGCAGCGAGCCGGAGTGCAGCCCGGCCACCCGGTGCCTGAAGGACAGGCACAGGGCCCCCGGGCGCGCCAGGGGCCCCAGAGGGAGCACCAGGCGGGCGGCCCTGCCCCCGGGGCCTTTGACGTCCGAGACGGTCAGATACTGTCCACCTGGAAGGGAAGAGCAGGCTGTGTGTCCGGGCCAGCATCCCTCTCCGGCACAAAGGGCAGGGAGAGCGGTTTCACGGGTTTCGCTCTAAGAAACGTCAAACGACGACAGTCATTTGTAAAGAATTCCAGACTGCTGAAGGAGAAGAACGTGACTTACTCTGCGGTTGTCTTAAATTCTATGGTTTTTGTTTACAGAAAACGCTCGCTCTGTCCATGGAAGGTGCAGGTTATGCCAAGGACACGCGATCATCACTAATCCTAACGCTGAACGGTGCGGCGGCATGCGCTGGGACACGGGCACAGAAACACACCCACACCCCCACCCCTACCCACGGCTCAGAGGATGTCACGCTGCCTGCGGGTGTGCTCGTTGGCTCTAAGCTGCCAGGGAGAATGTGCTTTGTGGATCATTAACCTTGCGACACTAGAACAGCTGGCGAGTTGTTTCCTCTCCCTCTACTTCTTACTTTTAAAAATCTCTAGAGAGAGAGGAGTCCTTTAGAAGAACCGGAGTTGGCCTGGTTTCTCTCACTGCAGCACGCCCAGCCTCAGGGAGACGCAGAGGTCTGGAGCCGCTCCATGTCGTCCCGGAGCACCAACTTTATTCGGAGGTAAGTAGTTGAAGACATTTTTGTGCTAAATCCATGACATGACCGACAACGATATGTAAATTTTCTATTACATACACATGAGCACAAGACGTTACTCAACCTTCGCTCCGGACAGGTGGCTTTGCTGATGTCCTCAGGCCCCTGGGCTACAGGTGCTTCCCGGTTAGAGGAACCGCAATGGAGGGGAGACGGGCTCAGCGGCGCTGGCGGAGGCCCCTTCTCCGGGGGGAAAGCTGCGCGCAGCCGTCTGAACTCAGCCCAGGTACAGACGGCGCCCCCTCGGCTGCTGCAGCGCAGCCAGCTGAGCAACACGTGTGCTCCAACACTGACGGGGCCACAGGAAAAATGTGGGCAACATTGCACCCACGGATGTGGCGGGAGGAACCCCACTTGATTTCCAGTGAAAAGATAAACCACCATTTCTTGTTTATACCTAATCCGTACAAGACACGATAAGGGTTGGGATGTCCTCCTCCTCTTCAGGCGACGTCTCTCCCCAGTAACCCCCTGAGCTGTCATAGGACCAAACACGTGCTTTCTGTGCACTAACATGCCACGCTCTGCGGCAACCGCCCTCTGGGGAGCATCTCATCTAACGCTGCTACCAAGCCCTCGAAGTGAACACCTCTTAGGCTTGTTTTCGGGAAGCTGAGGCCTAGAAAGGCGAAGTCACCCAAGGTGTCACCCAGCCAGGAAGTGGCAGAATAGTGGTTTGAGGTCAGAACTGCCTGACCCCCTCTTCAGCACCTGCTGCTCCCAGACCAGATTCACTGGTTTACTGTTTCTCTCCCAAACCAGCAATCCTCGCATATGTAGGTGTTTAATGCCGTTTGTTGAATAAATGATGTTCTAAGAATACAGCAAAAAACTGCAGGAAAAATACGTCCTTGACTCATGTACTTGACTCACCGAAAACACACGCATACACAATATTTCCTTATCCTCCTTCTGCCCCCAGGCCCCTAAATTAATGCAAACAATATTTTGGGCCAAAATATTTAAATAGATTTTAAATGTCTCCCTTAAGTGAGCTTTTGAATCATCACAGGTATTTTCGTTAAGAACAAGATATAAGGTTATTACAGTTAACCTGCAAGTTTTAAGAAAACAAGATTAAGCCCTGTGGAATGTAGCTTTCAATTTACAGAGTAAGATAATGTCCATTACTTTACCTGTTAACCGTGAGGTCAAAGGAAATGAGGGAGTTTGCAGTGACGTGGTTTCTATTTTGGGGCCTGGCTGAGAAACTAGCCCAGCTATAACTAAGATAATGATGGTCTGCTGGTATTTACTCCTAAGTGCAAATAGCTTAATTTTTTTCTTATAAAAGAAGTGGTGTGGGGCTGGTTAAGTGTGCATGTTCCACTTTGGCTGCCTGGGATTTGCCAGTTTGGATCCCGGGTGCAGATGTGGCACCGCTCTGCACGCCATGCTGTGGTAGGCGTCCCACATATAGAGTAGAGGAAGATGGGCATGGATGTTAGCTCAGGGCCAGTCTTCCTCAGCGAAAAGAGAGGATTGGCAGCAGTTAGCTCAGGGCTAATCTTCCTCAAAAAAAACAAACAAAAAAAGAAGTGGTGCATGCACATAGGAAAAAAGATACAATAGAAAAGCATAAAGAGTTTAAATAAACCATAATCCTCAAACCCAAAGATAACTACTAACATTGTTCATAGATGCAAGTATACCATTAATAATTTAACCAATTTCTTGTTGAAGAATATGTAAGTTGTCTCCAAATTTTCGTTTTAAGATAAAAATACCATAAAATACTAAGACAAGCAAAAAAAAAAATATTTGCACACGTGAAAAAGGGCCAAGTTTCCTCTTTTTTTAAAGATTGGCACCTGAGCTGACAACTGTTGCCAATCTTCTTTTTTTCCTTCCTCTTCTTCTCCCCAAAGCCCCCAGTACACAGTTGTATATTCTAGTTGTGACTGCCTCTGGTTGCGCTATGTGGGACGCCGCCTCAGCGTGGCCTGACGAGTGGTACCAGGTCCATGCCCAGGTTCCGAACCAGGAAACCCTGGGCCGCAGAAGCAGCGCGCATGAATTTAACCACTCGGCCACAGGGCTGGCCCCCCCAAGTTTCCTTTTTACATAAAGAACTTTTACAAATCAATAATAAAAAGAACACAAAAGAAAAATGAAAAGGATCACAGAAAAAATGACTTTAAATATATGAAAAGATGGTCAACTTTTCACAATAAAAGAAATGTTAACTAAAATGAGATGCCTCGTCACCTATTAAGTGTGGCAAAGATAAAATAGTTTAATATCTATGTTGGGGATAGTTCTTAAATATTGTCAGTGGGAGCATAAGTTGCTCCAACCCTTATAAAGAGCAAGTCAGTATAATCTATCAAAATTCAAAATGCAAATTCCCTTTGACCCAGAAATTATACACCTAGGAATTTATCCTCCAGATGCATTCAAACATATATGAACCCGTCCAAGGTTACTCGCTGCAGCCTCGTCTGAACTAGCAAGAGGCTGGAGACCTGAACGTCCCTCAGTGGATGCTGGCTGATGCACTGTGCACAGGTGAGGAGAGGTGGAGGGAGCGCCGTGCGTGAGAGTCGGGGTGCTGTGGGTCCTGACCGGGGACAATCTCCAACGGCAATGGCTAATACTATCTATCTTAATGGTAACTCTGGGCTTTAGGTACGTTTGGTAGATACTACTGATTATGCCATTTAAGTAACTAGCTCAAGGCCAAAGCTAGTAAGTGATGCTGGGTTTCAGCCCAGGCATTCTGGCTTCAAAGTCCTTGTTCTTTGTGTTAACATTTAAGATAATACCATTGAGTGAGAAAAGCCCGATGCAGAAGAGGGTGCTGCTGTGCAGAACATATTTCTGGAAAGGTAACTGAGAACTGGGGAGGGCAACTGGGGGCCCGGGCTGGGAGGTGGCTTTTATTTTCAAGGTTGATTTATTTTTCCATTTACGTGTACTTCAAAATAAGGTTTTTAATGCTGCACTAGACATACTTGTATGTATGCGCTGGCATATTCATTATGCATTTAAGTGAATTCCTTGAAGCCATCAGCAGCAGACAGCACTGGTCAGTTGCCTTTAACCCCAGAAGCCAGGGTTCCAGGGGAAGGGCCCCAGGTCCAGCCTGTATGTCCTCAGCCCACAGCTACACCATGCATCACCATGTCTGGGGGCAGCATGATTTTCCATTCCTGAGAGGAATGTATTGCTCTCACTATCTCACAATTAAATTCAAGACTGATTGTAATGAACAAAACTGAATGAGCACCAGCAAGGGCAGCTAGCGTGTGCACTTATTTTGCAGCTGTTTCTCAAGGTTGTAAGTTTATTTACTAAGGGTTTTCTTAGAGATATTAGCATATAAGAATATTTGAAAATCTGGATCTTGGATAAAAATGCACAACATTAAAATCAGTCACAACTGGAAACCCAAACATGTTCCTTTATAAATGGTATAATCTATAGAGAAACAACTCAACAATTAGTTTGGTAATTAGGTAATACACAGAAATTTCTTAAATTGCTTATATTCTTCTCTGGCCTCTGCATGCAATGCACACGCACACATACATACACACAATTCCACTGGACCTTCCTAGAAGAAAACTAGGCAAGAGAAAGTAAGCTTTATTCCTTTTTTTCCACCAGCTTAGGGCTAGAATTCCCCAACACACGTTGCAGAGCCCCGCCTGCAGCTGGCCCTGACAGAGGCCGTGCACTCCTGCCCCTTCTTTCAGCTCTCTGCATCCTTTGATCTCCCGATCCGTTCTCCCGGCTAGAACCCTGCCACCCACCGATCTCTTTGGAATTACCCGGGACATACCATTCTGAGTCAGAGGCTCAGAGCCCCTGTAAGAGGTTTTCTAATCCAACCCTTTTCCACTGCTCAAAACAACATCAAGCCACATGTCACCCAGTCGAACACCTCCACCGACCAAGAGCTCCCTACTTCCATGTGACAAATAGAAACGACAAGCAGTGGGATATATTGGAGCATATGAGGAAGCCAGCTGGTGTAAACCTAATTCGGCCTGCCTTTGTTTTTCCAAAAGGGCCTGACATGGCCATTGAGCTCACATTGTATATCTCCTTAAGCATTTCCTATGTCCCAAAGACAAGCACAAATGCCCTTAAGATAAAGGTGCAAATTCCCCCACCTTGGCATTTCCTTAAGGATAAGCATCATTCCTTAGCAGCCTCGAGACTATTGTAAAAGGGACATTTCAGTCATATGTGAAACATCCTCTTAGGGGGTATATAACCACTCTGTACACCCGACTTCTTTGGTGCCCTTTCTTCTTTGGGAAGAAAGGCCCCAGGCCATGGTCCTCACATTTTAGCTCAGAATAAACTCACCAAAATTTTCATTAGATTGGTTATGGATTATGTGCGTCAACACACGTCAGCTTGATCTCTTTTTAGACAGCTCTGACTATAGGGAAGTTCCTTCTGAGAGTGAACAAAAATCCAGCTCCCTGTGGGTTTCACCTACTGATCCGACTTCTCATCCCCTTGTGGTCACAGAACAACTGTAAGAGATGTTGTCGTTCAAGTATTTGAAAAGCAGCTGCCCCATTATTTCTTCTCCAGGCTCAGCACTCTGGTTTCTCCATCTGTGGAAATCCAGGTCATTCATCTCTATTCTTCTCAGACTAGAAAGAACCCACCAAGGTGTATTTTCCATTCTGGAAAACATACCATATTTCTATGGAAGTGACCCAACTCTTTGGCAGCCATGACACAGGGTTCACACCCTGATTTCACTGCCCACTAACAGTGAAGTCTCTCACCTCCTGCTAAGTCGCATCTCCCCTCCCACAGCTGCGTAGTTGGTTTCCAGACCATGAGCCATACCTTGTACTCATCCCCACAGTGTGACCACTGAGCTAACCTCCGGAAGCTGGTTGTGTCGGCACACACGGTCACTCCTCCTCTGGCTCGGAGTCATCCACAGTTTGGTTAGTATGCCTTCAATATCCAAGTCTGACATCCAGTTCATTCAAGCTGTCAGTAAACACCAAGAGCAACCCCAGAAGAGCATGCCCCCAGGGTCAGAGCCAATCGCCAGGAGTTACCCAGTCACCCAGGTGACCACTTGTTTCCATCTGTTCTGTACTATCACAGCCAAATGACCATGTCAAACTTTTCTGTCTACTATTCTAATTTCAAATCTTCTCATTTTTCTATGGGAGGCCAAGTTGAATATGTGATGAATAATAGTCTTGAAAAGTGCTAAATTGGTTTTAAAATATAGTATTTAAATTCTAAAACTCAAGTATTTTACATAGATTGTCTACACAGAAGTGTAGTGAATTCTTCTGTGTTCAGCATGAATTGCTCTCTCCAGTGTACCTCACTTGAAAGAGTTACTCATTGTGACCACAACCATTATTCACACATGGCCTCTAAAACTCCCTCCTCTGCGCCAGATTCCCTTCGGTCAGCGTCAGTCAGATCTGAGACCTGAGGTCTGAGACCTGCTAATGGGATCGTGCGCACCCCACCCCAAGAGACTGAGGCCACACTATGGGTTGGTGAAAACCCCAGACTAATGCTGCAGATGCTCTGGGCCCTGGACGCCTGCGAGGCTGAGCCCCAGACTAACGCTGCAGATGCTCTGGGCCCTGGACGCCTGCGAGGCTGAGCCCCAGACTAACGCTGCAGATGCTCTGGGCCCTGGACCCCTGCGAGGCTGAGCCCCAGACTAACGCTGCAGATGCTCTGGGCCCTGGACTCCTGGGAGGCTGCCTAGGTGGCACAGGGAGGCCTGGGCACGAAGCCACAGTTTAGCTCTTGGCCTTAGGAAATGCAGGTGGCCTTCTGGGCCTCAGTATGTCCTTCGTGAAATAACACTACCTGCTTCACAGGGTGGAGAAGAGGGTCAAATAAAATTAGTGAGATGATAAGTGAGTCAGGACTACAGTAGGTTTAAATAATGTTGGTTTCTCTCTCATTCACGAGGGTCTGAGACATTCATAATAACGTTGTCCTGCTCAGAGTTAACTTCAAGGATGACAGGACAGGGTGAACACGGGAATGAGAGGGACTGTACAGTGTGTGTGTGTGGCATTAAAATTATTATGTAGCTAAAATAAATCTAAAAACCTATTTGAATTTATGGACTATTCATATTTTTTAAAGCTCACGTCAAATTTTCATTTTTAACTATCTGTAATATTTCAATCTTACAGGATCTAATGAATTGATTTTTGGACTAATTCTTTAAGACCTTGCAGGACTGTAGCTTTCCCCAGGGAACTGTGATAAATGCACCAAAATCTGCACTGTCACCAGGCCCAGATGCTGTGTGTGCACACGGACCTCTGAGAAGAACTGGTTTAACAGGGCACATCCTCTCTCAGCCAGCTTCTGTGAGTTTGTGCTCTATCTACATACCTGGAATGGTATTTAAGAACTAAGCTTTTAAAATAAATAACATACTTTTTTTCCAGGTCTTGTAGCTTTCATTCTTAAGTCTGGAATCAGGAGCATAAAAAGCAAAAAAGAAACCAAACTCCTCACCCTTCCACTAAGCTGGCCTCACCCATAAAGATTTAATTGCAGAGGGGAGGGGAAAACCCCAGTAACATGTAGCTTTGCTTTCTGAAACAAGAAGACAAAACATCTTGTCAGCACTAAAACTTTAGATTAATAGCAAGTGCGCGATTTAAAAGTCTGATAATTTTCCAAGGGATTATGTCTAAATCCACCCCTCTAATAAGAATCTTGTGGAGTAAGCAGTGGTACTTTATAGCTAATTTCTCCAGTATCCAAGTTGGATTGAAATTTTCTTTCTTTTTTTTTTTGTGAGGAAGATTGGCCCTGAGCTAACACCTCTGCCAATCTTCCTCTACCTTGTATGTGGGACACCACCACAGCATGGCTTGATGAGCAGTGCCTAGGTCCGCACCCAGGATCCAAACCCACAAACCCTGGGCTGCTGAAGTAGAGCATGTGATCTTAACCACTGGGCCACCAGGGTGGCCCAGATTGAAATTTTTTCAGAGAGGTGTTCACAACTTCACAGCAATTTCACTGTCTCCTTCTACATCTCAAATCTTAAAAACAAAAAACAGGACATAATTGAGAAAACAACCAGGGACACCACCATGGCTGATGGACTGCTATATTACTCCTTTTATGCTTGGGGATGGGGCACTACAAATAACTTGAAAATTACATATTAGAATGAGTCTAAATGTTTCATTTACCAAGCTTTTTGAGAGAAATTAGCTGGCCTTTTAATGAACTACTCGTTTCCCCATAATATAATTCTAGTTGATAACTAATAAATTCAGTTCACTTTAAGAAATGGAATACGAATGCTGGACGAGTCTTTCTTTGCCCTCCTTGTTAAGTAAACACAGAGCTGTGTCACAGCTACTTATGGGCAGAACAAGGCCCTGAGACAGCGGGATAACTGGTTTACCTGCTGGATCCCTCACGGGTTCCCAGTGCCCATCACGGTCCTTCTCCCTGATCCATCCACAGAGCCCATGGTCAAAATTACAGCTGTGCATCAGAACACCTGCAGGAAAACGGCCAGAAAGGTGAGCAGACCCCAGCCAGACAACAACAGAAACGAATTCGTGCCCAGGGTCTCTGTGCACCCAGCGCTCTATCCCCATTCACTATCCCCCCAGAGCTTCTCTCACGAGCTCAAAGGGAAAGCTCACGGATCCTTTCTCAGCACGGCTGTGTGTGTGCTCAGCTGTAGAAACAGAACACACATGTTGCCAAATCATGACCTTGTTACATCCTCACTCATAAAAGAGGACTTCCTCCTCACAGTTTAAATGCTGCTTTAATGCATTTTTTAAAAAGAAGATGATGATTCATAATTATTTTTGCTCAACTGATTTAACTACAGAGGAAACCAAGTTGTAAAAAAACAAAATGATGTATTTTCCCAGATGTAAGCAAACAATCTACAATTTAAAAGTTATTTTCATGAAATGGAGGGAAACAATAAAATGTCATCATAATGGTACCAAGAACGTAAGCATCTACCTGGATCATCCTTTGCTTCATCATCGGCGCTGACTCCTCTTTCAATTTCAAATATTTCAAACAAGTCATTTGAAGGCTGGCGTGGAACTGCGGGAGAGAGAGGCTATGTTTTGTTCTGATGAGCTATTGACAAAGAGGCATTATTACCTTTAATGAGGGGCAGGGGAAAGACCTCGGCGTTTCACTCATCTGGAAGAATCCAAAATATTAATTACATTTCACAAGAAGACTCATGACATTTTTTTCTGTGGTGACTTTAACATTTACCTGGGTACAATTTTTAAAAAATGGTTTTCCGAAGTTTCTAAAATTCACCATCAAAGTACATTAAAAAGTCTTCATCTGAAAAACACCTTTTACAAGAGCTACCAATTTCTAGCAAAATATTCATCTCTATGAGATTCTAAAGTTCGCCTCTATGAAGGGTACATGATGAACTCTAAATTGAGGCTGTTCTAATGGGAAGAGCAAGTGCAGGAACGGCGGACGGTGTGACCGCAGCATCGACTCCTCTCCGGGACCTCTGCCCACGCTGCACTGTCTCTGGGTTTCCCCCGTGGCCTCCCCTGTTTCCGAGGGCTCCTGGCTCCTTTAGGATCAAATCCAAACCCGTGGTGCAGTACTCGCAACCCACCCCCAAACGCACAGCACCATCCGGACCTGCCGTCCTCCTCAGGCCCAGACAGTCCCCAGCCTGGGATGCTCACCTTCTCGCTAATTAACCTGACAAACACTCCTCGCTGAGGACCCAGCTAAAGCCCACAGTGGGGAAGACTCTCAGGCCCAGGTGAGTTAGCTTCGTCTCCCTACACTCAGAAGGCTCATGTTTACAACCTCTGCTACACTCTTTCATAGAGAAGTGCAGCTATCTACACACTCGTGTGTCTGTCCCTCTGCTGTCTCTGAGGTCCTGGAGGACATCGGTCACATTTTATTCATGTGGCATTTCCAGGGCTTGACCTGTGACAGGCACTCAGTAAGTGTTCACTGAACAAATGTGAAGATCCTGTCAGAAACCCATGTACTTTGTCAGGCCTTTTCCGCAAACGAAACAAGCGGGACAGAGCTTAAGAATCCACTCAAAAAATGGATTCATTTAAATCATTAGTTATTTATTTCATGTGTATTTGATTGCCACCCACATTCCCAGCACCAGGGGAGGCCGGGAGACAGGGTGAAGGGGTAAACAAGCCCGACAGGACCTGGCCTTCAGGAAGCCTGCATCCCAAGGGGAGAGCGGACATTAAACACGGATCAACATGACAATTCCAAGTTCTGACAAGGCCAGGAGGGACAAACACAGGTGACGTCGTGGAGAGTAGCTGAGAGGGGCACTGGGAATGGGGATGGTGGCAAGGGGAATTCTTGGCCCAAGACCAGGGTATACTCCCCTGTCTTTGCCAGAACTTAAATTAATGAGCTCTATTTTTATAAGGCAGGGAGTAAAAGCTGTCGAACACTAAGGAGCAGACATCAGTCAAAAGGGCTCTCTTTCAACAATGTTCCTACTATGTTTAACAAGAATTTTCTTAAGTAACAATCTCATAATATTCACACTGATTTTTTTAGCTTACTGCTTTTGACATTTTTTCCTTTTTGTTTCAAAAGCCCAAACAGTGAAGCCTGTTCCCCTTTCCCCCTACACTCACAGGGAGCCGCCGCCCCCCCCCCCCACCCCCCCAGGGAACGAAGGACAGATGCTCAACACACAGGATCCAGGACGCCCTCCTTTACACCCCAGTGACTGACAGCTCTGCCGTCCAATCACAGCTTCCCTGCCCTCACATGGGGCTCTGAGAGGGAGTCTGCTCTTACTAGAAATATCATAAAGTTGTAGGCAAGCATGCTTCATTTCTCATGACATAGAGAAAGTTAAAAAAAAAAAAAATCTCTATAGAACAATCACATTTTGGTTCCCTTCTCTTGCTGTAATTACACAATTTATCTCTGGCCTGGAATAGCTCAAATCTTGCAGTACCGTATTTCAGGGGCATTATGGCAGTTTGTCAGCCCCCTTTTCCAGACGACAGATGGTCAAATGGTAAATAGAGCCTGAGTGTGGAGGGGGAGGATCTCCCCAAGGTTTCCTGGCACAGGGGGCCTGTTTTATGAAGGGAGCTCAAGAAGGGCCTGTCTGAGGAAGCACCATGTAGACCCAGAGGAGATGGGAAGAACGTGGAACTTTCTACGCAAAAAGCAAAGTGATGGGACGGGGGAGAGGGAGTGCTTCAGGCAGCAACTACAAAGAAAGTGCACAGAACACAGAGAATGGAGTTCACGGTGTCTGGAGGATGCTGGAGAAAGCGGTAGGGCATGAGGTTTAAGAGAAAGGAAGGGACGAGACCACAAGTTTGGAAAAAGCAACCCAAAGCATTAGTCATCCAACAACCTGCACACTTTCAGGATTTTGGGCCCTGGGTTTCCAGGAACTGTTTAATGTGGCAGTGGATGATCATGCACACCTTCACTGCAGCTCACTGGGACTCATTCCAGGGGACTTAGGGACCTGAAATCCTCAGCAGCTATTAGTTCTTACAGTTGCGTGTGTTCCACTCTGTAACACAGGCAAATCATCGAGCTAATTCTCCTTCCTCACACTCACCAGGACGCACTGCTGAGAACACTCCACTGATGTGTCAAGAGAAGGTACCCTACCTACTCCCCGGTATATTTTACAGTTTCCATGAACTAAGTAGTGCAAAAAAATCACCCAAGCAGTATGATCTCAACTATGTACGAGAAAAACAAATGAACAAACAGACTACAAAAAAGAGTGATAAGAAATACACCCCCACGCATATGCAATCAATTAACCTATGACAAAGGAGCCAAGAATATACTACGGGGAAAGGACAGTCTCTTCAATAAATGGTGTTGGGAAAACTGGACAGCCACACGCAAAAGAATGAAAGTAACTCAAAATAGATTAAAGACTTGAATGTAAGACCTGACACCATAAACTCCTAGAAGAAAACATAGGCAGTATGCTCCTTGACCTTGGTCTTGGCAATGATTTTTTTGGATCTGACACCAAAAGCATAAGGAACAAAAGCAAAAATAAACAAGTGGGACTGCATCAAACTAAAAAGCTCTGCACAGCAGAGGAAACCATCAACAAAATGAAACAGCCAGCTACTAAATGGGAGAAAATATTAGCAAATCATATATCTGATAAGGGTTTAATATCCAAAATATATAAAGAACTCATACAACTCAATAGCAAAAAAACAATCTGATTGAAAAAAGGGCAGATCTGAATCAACATTTTTTTCAAAGATGACATACAGATGGCCAATGGGTACATGAAAAAGTGCTGAACATCGCTAATCAACAGGGAAATTCAAATCAAAACCACAATGAGATATTACCTCCCACCTGTCAGAATGGCCATCATCAAAAAAAAAAAAAAAAAAAAAGAATAAGAAAAGAAAAGAAATAAGTGTTGTCAAGGATGTGGAGAAAAAGGGAGCCCTTGTGCACTGCTGGTGGGAAGGTAAATTGGTAGCAGCCACCATGGAAAACAGTATGCAGGTTCCTCAAAAAATTAAAAATAGAACTGCCATATGATCCAACAGTTCCACTTCTAGGTATTTATCTGAAAAAATGAAAATACTAATTTGAAAAGATGTATGCACCCCCACGTTCACTGCAGCATTATTTACAATAGTCAAAATATGGAAGCAACCTAAGTGTCCATCTATGGATGAATGGATAAGGAAGATGTGGTGTATACAGAATGGAATATTAGTCATAAAAAAGAAGGAAATTCTTCCATTTGCAACAACTTTGACAGCATCAAGCTAAGTGAAATAAGAGAAAAACAAATACCATATGATCTCACTTATATGTGGAATCTAAAAATACCAACCAACCAACCAAGCTCATAAATACAGAGAACAGATTGGTGGTTGTCAGAGGTGAGGGATGGGATGGGAGAAATGGGTGAATGGGGTCTAAGGGTACAGCTTCCAATGATAGAATAAGTCATAGGATATAATTCACAGCATGGTGACTATAGTTAATAAAACTGTGTTGCATATTTGAAAGTTGCTAAGAGAATAGATCTTAAAAGTTCTCATCCCAAGGAAAAGAGTTTTCTAACTCTGTATGGTGATGGGTGCTTACTGTGGTGCTCATTTTGCAGCATATACAAATATTGCATCGTTATGTGTACTCCTGAAACTAATAAATGTTTTATGCCAATTATAACAACAACAAAATAGCCCAATATGCTAATAGCACTAGTCTGAGTTTTGGAAATAAAAGTGATATTTTCCCATTTGTTGGTTTTTGTCTCTTGAAATTTTATATTTTCAAGATTGTTTATAACAAGAAGTAATTTCTTTTATGGAAAAAACTTACCTAATACATTGAAAAAAAAAAAGAGTTCAGTCAGAGCACATACAGACACTTACCCTACAGCAACTCTAATGTCTGTTATTTGTATTTTGATTGTTCAACGAGAACTTGAGAGTCTTGCCACCTATTATTAAATGTGAGGCTATGAAATTGAAATATATTTGTGAAATGTGAAATATGTTTCTGAAATTTGAACATTTTCTTTGATTCAAGAGAACTATTTTAGTCAATGGAGAAAATGCTAATTAAAATCAATGATGAGCCTAAAAACAGAAGTATAACAGGGATAGATGCTGATAAGTGATTTTTCTAATTATTCTTCCCTGCTTCATATTTTGGCTAATAGTCAATTTAAACACATAATATATATATATTATAAAAACAAATACATACCTGATACTCTCTGTAGCTGGACCATTAATTCTTGGAATTAGAATGGCATAATTTTAGAGATTAAAGAAAGGATAATAGAAATGCTAATGATATATTCCTCTACCATCTGTCCATCCATCCTCCCTCTGTTCCATCCACTTATTCCATCCATCAATCAGGAAACTGAGCATCCACTGCCTACGAGGCTCCAGGCCAGGAGCTTGCCGTGAAGCACTGAGCACATTCTTCCCTTCATGGGACCTGCATTCCAGAGGTGATGACAGACATCTAACAATTCCCAGGTAATGAATGCTTTAAAGGAGAGGTAGGGGATGCTACAAAGGGGTGAGGGGTGG